CTTCTAGACAGTTATAGAGAAGTTTTAATTTTCACTGTTTGATTTTAGCTATAGCTATACCGTAGGTTTTTGTAATTGATTGAATTTCTCCTATCCCCTTGTCCCCCCATCCATTACTGTGATTGAATTTTGTTTTCTCATTTTTCCAAAATTCCTGAAATTTTGTTATGGTTGATTTATAATTGTTATTTGTGAGTACTGAATTGTTGAATTTCCAGAAACCTTATCCCCGTCTATAGCTGTCTAGATTAAGCTTCAAAGATAATATTTTGTGGTTTCATTTTGTATTAGGATGGTGGTTTAAACATACATTATGCAAGAGCTAAATCTGCCTATTGCAAGTCTTTTTTAGGCTTCAGATGTTATAGAAATTATTAATTAGACCTTTATTTACACGACAAGCTTAAAACCAAATCTGTAGAACCACTGATGGCTTGGATACGGTTTGGATTTAAACAACCTCGTCCATTTAAAATTAAATCAATAAATGGCGGACCAAGCTAACGTTTACCGTTACTCGCTGATGTCACAACCGGAAACTGGTGATGAAAAGCCTGCCAAGCGAGGCTACCATAGCCATTGAGTATAATACTTGATAATCGAGAATATGTGGGTGGAGTTATCGTTTGTCAATCAAACGATCGCCAATTCTGATAGACGGTGAAGACAGAATTGATGCCTATTTCTAGTCCAAACTTCTAACAGTGACAATTCCGATTAGAACAAAGTAATTTGACTGAAATTTTCAACATTTTCTTTTTTTATTATCTATTTTTGAATTATTATAGCAAGAATGGCCAACTCTTTATAAAACTCTTAACTATTGTAGGAAAACTTTTATAGCTTGGCCTCTCACATCTGATGAGATTAGCATAGTTTGAGAGTTTTCGTTCTATGTCCTATATTTCAAAGAATCGGTTATAAATGGAAATGTGTGTTTTATGAAATATGGTGATTTGGGGAATTTTTCCCAATAGAAACTATCCATAACCAGTTTTTGAGAAATAATATATTGAAAGTAAAAAAAAAGTACTCCTCTGTATGTTCTATGGTGAAACTGGGAGATACCCTTTAAGTATTTATATTAAGCATAGAATGGCTAGCTTTTGGAATAAAATGATAAGTGGTAAAAATGGGAAATATTCTTTGTTGTTATATACGTCTCTGTTAAAAAAAAAAGGTGTAAATCATACTAATAAATGGCTAATTACTATCAAAAATACTCTTGACGAATGTGGATATAGTTATGTACGGAACTCACAACAGACGCGAAACCCAGTTAAACTGAAATATGAGTTGTTACAACGACTAAAAGATCAGTATATTCAAATCTGGTCGTCTAATATCCCGAAATCGAATAAATCTGTGTATTATAGAATTTATAAGACGGAATTTAAATTAGAACCATATCTTACCTCATACTTTTAAATATAATACACTTTTTATAATATAATATAATACACAAGCAAACAATCAATAATTCTAAAAGTATGTATGTTTTTAAAGATAATTCGGCCATCTACCCCCCCCCCCTTGATTATCCCGTGTAACACTATCTTAGTGATAACAGTAGATCAGTTTAGCAAATATATGATTTATTTACATCAGGTATATAAAACAGCTACATACATACAACAACAATACTATACAGGAACTAGAGTACGACAGGAACACGACAGGAACACATCAGGACGGTACATACCTGTATTAAATCTACCATTCCGCCCCTCTGTCAAGGAAGCGGCTGAACTCGGGCGAGTTCTGCTCGTCTCTCCTCGTCTTTAGACGTCTGACTAACTGTCAGCAAACTCATAGTTATATATCCTCCGACAATATAAGGCTCATGATCATACATGCAATTGTCTCTTTATCACGTAATGGTATGCTTACTGACCAGTGCGTATGTCTTTGCAGTCATATACAGATCATATGTAGTTTGTAAATGACATATAATAATAATAATAATTTATTTTCAGGCCATGGGGCCCATAGTACACTCAAGACAAGATCATAAAATTACAAACATTAACAAACAAACACTATTTACACAGATTCATCATAACCTCACGTTAAGTCATGGTAAATGATCTCATTATTTTAGTTTACTCAGTAATTTTCTTTTCTTTTCATAGCATTATAAATAATTTTACTTATGTTACAGATTATATCACAATTAGTACTCTGCAAGTATCCTTTAACATAATTAAGTAGTTATTTAAAGTAATTATTGCCATTGCAAATAGTTCTCAGGATGTCAAACAGTTGACAATGAGTCAGAATATGTAATTCATTTCCAGTTCATTTTCATTCAAACAGTATTTACATATCCTGTCATTTCTTTCTATTGATATAGCTCTACCTGATTCCATTGCAAGGTTGTGGCTACTTACTCTTAATCTACTTAAAGCTACTCTATGTTGTTTGTTTATTATAGTGGATAAATATTTTTCTGATTCTAACAATGATTTAATTTCTGCATAGAAATCTAGTTTTGAACTGTTTTTTTATTGCAGGGTGTCATTCTTGTATATTACAGTCTATGACCCTTTGTTAAAACATGCTTAAGAAATTGTCACTATTTCCAACTTGCTGATATGACCAAACATATTGGAAACCATAATTATACAACATATCCCTATTTTTTGTAAATGCCATATGGGATTAATTACATGTTTAATTAGATCATAGCCAGTTTGTGCCTTAACAGAAGTATATACAGATTTCAAAAGTCAATATAATATATTATTAAAAGCAGCTTAATAAAAAAATAGATCAATAAGTTATATGCACCTAAATGATCGTTCAATTTGATAAAGATTATAGAGTACTTTGTCACACCCGGCACCCTACCTTTGACAAAGGATTATAGACTGTATCATTATAAGTACTGTTCATTTAGTTGACGGTTGACTATGTTCATGAATAAAATATATGAGATAAGTTTACGTGTCATCGATTAACGAGTTTCTTAAATATTATTAAAAATTTACTAATGAATCCCGTGTACACATTTGCGTGCGCGTAAAAGATCCCTTGGCAGTTGGAATTCGATAAAGTAGACCGTAGCGCCGCTGTCCGGGCAAACATTCCCCTTTAGCCCATGGCGTATGCCGTATTAGCCAATTCGGAGCAAAACAGTAGGACATTAAACCGCATTTCATTTCATTTCCAACTGTGACTTACGGCGTCTGAAAATATAATCGACTTTGGTTTCCGATCTTTTAGACATTTAACAATATATACTGTGGGTTACCAATAGACATTGAGAAATTTAATTATCAGCGATGGGAAGGAAATGGGAGTTAAGGTGCTACGTTTCTGCAACCCCGGGGTAATGAAGACGGGATTACGCCATATATTGGTTTGTTTTTGACCAATCCGAACGACTAGACCTTCCGTCCTGCGTCACTGACAAGAGGAAAACACGCTGAAATATCCCGGAGAACTTTTTATCAGCTATTGGAAATATCTTGTATGGATGGGAAGTGAATGTTCTATTCTTTATTTCTTTAAGTCTACAAACTCATGGAATAACTTATATATATAGTATAATTAAATACAAACAATATAGTGAGTTATACATGATATTACAAGTAAATACAAACAAACAGCCTTACAATACATGTAATAGGCTAGCTATACATGATAAATACAAACAAACACCCCAAACAACATAGCTATACATGATAATACAAGTAAATGCAAACTAACAAACACCCCAAACGGGATAAGGTGGTGGTTGTGGTTGAATAAGTTGAATTAAAAAAAAATAGGCAAGGTTAGCGTATAAATAATAACACCAATATAAGTTGTCATAACACAGATCATTGATAACGGTAAGGGTGCTAGTGACAACTTTATTAATTTTAACAAGAATGAACAAGATATAATAAATATACATTAAATCCTATAATATACAAAAAGAAAAAAGTTAAGCACCCTATCTATTTTTCACAGTGACTTGTCTAACGAGGTTTGGCCTTTAAACCCCGAAAACATAATCACGGAAAAACAAATGTGGTTTGCAAGAATGGATCTTTGACGATAAGAACACATATATTATAGCGTTTATCTAGTTTTGAGTTGAGTCACCGCATCTACCTATTCTCGTGTGAATATACCATACTTGCTTTGTAGGATTTATAGAGTAACGTGTATAGTATATCTGATTCCTTTGTCAATCTATTCCATTTGGCCGTAGTATATGTCGAGATGTTCTCTAAATATCGCTGGCGACATGTCAACATATTGTGCTTGTTGCGATCATAGGCGTACGGGCTGAATGTTAGGGGGCAGAACCTGATATGCTCCCAAAAAACTTCATCTCGTAACCTCCGTGTTTAGAGATAAGAGATGGTGCTATATACATGTAGTTTCACGTAGCAAAACCCAACGCAAATCACATATCGGGCCTCAGTAAGCAAATTGACAATATTTTTCATCAAAACGACGATTGATTATTGTTATTTATAAATTTCCTCATGTAATCTTTTCAGACCCACAAGAATACAAACCATCTTTTCAAAGCACGGATTTATGATTCTCGAAGCACGGATTTTGTCATTTCAAGGCACGTCCGTGCCTGTGGGCACGTTTAAATAGGCCCTGCGTGATACACCCAATTTACAAAAAAAAACTCGCATGTGTATCTGAATTTAAAAGTTTTATATTATAGAATAAAACGTTTACAAAAATAAATGCTTTGAACAACTCAACTAGGGACTGTTTCGAAGTCTATTGTACGATGATACCTACAATAAATAGTGAAGATTTTAGTTTCACCCCCTCGGACTGTAATGTAAGGTGATATCTACAAATGGTGACGAACAAAGCCCATGTAAATTCTGGCGTTAACCAAGCGAAAACTATAATCTATTGACTGGAGGGCTAGTCAATGCACGGTTGGTTGGTGATTTGGTTATCAGCAACTCAAGCCTCTGGTAATGCGAGATCAGATGGTTTTTTTTTTAACAAAGACGGATTTACATTATATATTTCAGCAAGGTTCAGTAGTATATCTTGTCTACGATATCACCTTAGGTGGAAGCGGACGTAAAACTCCAGAAACGAACGAAGTAGTATATCTAAAATAGGATAGCCAGTGTTTGCCATCATAGGACATCTCACAGGTATGTTATTTAGATTAACTCAACATTGTGTATGATAGTAGTCGACACTCTAAATCAAGAAATACATCCAATACTTTTGAAATATTTGAATTGGTTTTGTGAAACTGGCCTAATATCAATGGCGCAGAACGGGGAATTTGCAAGGAAAGGTGTGTAGCCATTACGACGATAAAAAAAATTATATTATCAGGTAGGAAAAATTGTTCTCATTGTACACGCCATCTTCCTTCTTAATTTCATTTCCTTTCATAACACAAATTATATGGAAAATACTGCTTCTGATTTATTCGCAAAATGTCTTTTCAACTATAGTTTCATCGTTATAAAATGTGTATGATAGTAGTCGACACTCCAAATCAAGAAATACATCCAATACTTTTGAAATATTTGAATTGGTTTTGTGAAACTGGCCTAATATCAATGGCGCAGAACGGGGAATTTGCAAGGAAAGGTGTGTAGGCATTACGACGATAAAAAAAATTATATTATCAGGTAGGAAAAATTGTTCTCATTGTACACGCCATCTTCCTTCTTAATTTCATTTCCTTTCATAACACAAATTATATGGAAAATACTGCTTCTGATTTATTCGCAAAATGTCTTTTCAACTATAGTTTCATCGTTATAAAATGTAAAGATCCGACGACGATAGTCCATGTTGTATTGAACGTTATGTAGCGAATTATTATGGAGGCGTATAGTGATCAAGATAATAGCGATTTTCATAAGGTAACATGTCTACATATTGTGATTGTGATTATCGGCCATTTCAGTTCTGACTCCTCTCCCGAAAAAAATCGAAAATTCAGACGGGCACATCATAGTGTGATTTCGGTTCCAAAACCACAAAAGTAATGCCATGTTTTGGAATATTTTTAGTTGCTGCACTAACGGACCGGAATGATAGGAAAACTCGCTCATGGCCGTCTTATTTTCTCAAAGCCCGGAAGCCTTATAAAACGCGCCTTCGGTGATCGCAGGAACCCAGCTTCGTAGGCCGCAAAGGAATTTGTTCGGGCATTTCATTTCTGCACCCTTTGAAGCTGACCGGGCCGAACACCTAGGTCTAGATTCAAGAAATATTTGCAAATCATATATTTTTATACAGGAAAACAATACAAGGTATCATTGCGACACAACATGAAGATTAAAAGTCGGCAGATCCAAAACTTCTCCTATTTACAGGACAATAATTGACGAAGTTTGATGAAATAATAATGTTTTATTAATTTCGATTAGTGTTATATCCATAAAGCTTTGTCTTGTTTGTATTTCATTTGAACCGAAGTCATGACATTTTAATGTGTATGTAATATATATTTTAATCCTGGCAGTATCGATGCGTGATTTTCATTTTTAGGAAGGAATCAAATTTCTCACGATTGAATCCACCCCAATATGTAGACCTACTTTATTCAGAATAATTTATTAACATTAAGACAACAAAATCAAAATACAAACGCTAGATAATATCTCGGCTTAATTGAATTCAATCGGATTAAAAACTGGTCCATCAATTCGGTTCACGGCAAATAAAGATAGCGACTACCTGGTTATAGGGTGTCGCATAGATTGGTTGAATTGAGTCATTTTTGGACAGGTATTTGTATTAAAGATTCCACGTTACCAATATTATAGTTAGCAGATGATTAAATCACACAAGGTCTTTAATCGAAATAAATGCAATATTCTACAATCCGTTGTACTCTGCTTGAGATGATATATTTTCAATTCTATAACTTTATGGAAATTAGGGCCTACATGATTTATTATAACTTAAATAATTTATTATTTATATCTGAACGTGTGTTGCTTTCGCGTAAAACAAATTTCCTCTGGGATAGGCCTAATAAAGTATTATCTGATTCTTGTTTTAAATAAAAAAAAAAGTTTTCCTCAGTGCACACAATCAATTCATTTTAATTTTTTTGGGTTAACAAATATAGCGTCACTGTCTTCAATCGTCATAATGCATCACGGGACCATTTTATGTATAAATTTATCTGATATTTCTAAATTTATCTTGGTAAGAGGACACAGGTGAAATGTAAACACCCTTCATTATTAAAAAATTTAAAAGACACGTCATAATCCAAATGTATAAATAATGAATTTATTTATCGTTGATGGTATTCATACGTATACAATTTCACACACTATCCAATCCATTGAATTCGTGCAAACCAGTGAGGCGTTACAATAATCGGATATCTTTTGTATGGAAGCCTATAACTACCATTCATAATTTCTACTTTTCGCCTCTTCAAAACACGAAAGTCGAAAAGTAGAAGTTACGACAAAATGTGAGGCGACAACACGCTATACAAGCCAAAATCAACTCGAAAATAGGAAATTAAGAAATAACGCACAGCGATAATAGCGCCCCTCGTTTTTTCCTAATTTCTTATTTTCGACTTGCATTTTGGCTTGTATGTAGTTTGTAAATGACATATGGGATTAATTACATGTTTAATTAAAACATGACTAAACAGAAGTATATAAAGTTGAAAAGTCAATATCATATATATTATCAAAATCAGTTCACAGAATCTAAGTAATAGTTCGTATTTTATAAAATAGAAAATTAAGCACTTTGTTATACTATTACGATTCGCGCCAGGAAACACGTTTGTGACAAACTTGCCAAATTTCCTTCTTTTTTTGGGGGGGGGGGGGGTGAGGGGGTCCTTTACGCCGTCTGTAACCCATGTACACGGGGACTTCTTGCTGACTAGGGAGATGGTGCCTCCTGTCCAATTAAATCTGGTTGATCAAAAAAAAAAAAACATACACGTTTTGGGGCTTTGCATTATCTAATAACTGTTTATAAATGAAAATATTTCGCTTTATCAGCTGATAACACAGAACAAAACGAGGGCCAGTCGACGTAGAATTAAAAGTGCAATTTCTCGGCCATGGTCTGTCCAAATTTTAGAATCATACTAAATGCATAATAAATACGAAGTTAAAAGCAGGCCCATCAGAAATTCCGGATTTTGGAATGTAAGCTTTTGGAATCAAGACCCATAACCCTGTAAGTAATTAGGTCAAGTGGAATAAATTCAAAGTGGAGTCAAATTACTTCATTCTGAACTACATTTAGGGGGTTTGGAGAACAGCGGAGTCTCGATTGTCATTCCTACCGTTGTTATGATAATAAACAAAGTCTCGGTTATCCATTTTTAATTCAAATCATTAACCACCAAACGTGTTTATATCCGTCTAATTAATCATGTATATTGCATTTAAGGCCTAAAGAAAGACCTGCAATACCTTTCCGTGTACAAACTGGGTGATGTGATGATATATATTTGGACTAAACACATAGTAAAACTAATTAATCTATCAAATATTTGCTTCAAATTCCCCCAAAACAATGTATTCGCAAGGAAATATCCCAAGCTATAAAAAATGTATTAAAAAAATCATGTTTGTGTCACGTGATTCGGCAACGGGTATGAGGCCGGAGAAGAATTCATTGCATATAAAAAAAAACGGCGTTGTCTTTTATAGCTGTCAATTTACCATAAATATCGAAGCCTAAGTTAATTCTCGGATTATCTTCTCTCTGACCATGTCAGAAACTGTTGTAGTGTCTCTTACTTTTATGGCCCCTATGTTATCCCTCCTTAGTTTTAATCAAAATTGTCAACAATAGCACCAACACATGACAATGGTCTAAGCTACCTAGTAATATCTCTATCAACGTTTTGACATAACGCTTTGGCAAAAGAGCACCATAGAATAGCCACATATGCCTGTTGTCATATTATAACCATTTCATATTTTATTCTGTGCTTTTGTTAGCGTTATTGTTGTGATTTTATGTTATTTTATCGCCTCCTACTTAATAGAGATTGCAATACAAAACCTAAGGACCACCCTTAGTGAATAATATAGAACACAACAATTTTATTGTCATAAATTTAAAAAGGACTACATTACTGCGATGCAGTAATAGCGGGTTCCACCGGTGCCACGTTACCCTTGAATTGACATGACTTCTCGTACCATTGGAAACGTTAAAAAGATTTCCACTTGAGCATTGCACACGTGTAATAAAATGGACATTGAATTTGCCAATAAATCAAGCAATATCAGTTCCATTTATAGAACGAAGACACAATGACATCACCTCTGTTATCTACGAAATATGTAATTTGGATTATATAATTAACGACTTCGACTGTCCTTTGCGGTGACAGAAAATTGGTTAAAATTTGAACAGAATTAACACTTTATAAAGCCTTATTAATATGCAAAAAAAACCTTAAAAAGTGATCCTGACAAAACTGGTTATTTCTCGTCAAGGGAAGATGTCAGAAGCACTTTTGTGATATCTATATGATCGTATTGATTCATACTATTTGTCCATTGAAATCAAATATCATAATTTTATACGAATAATGAATATCGCTTACTTAAAACAAATACAGTTTTTGCCAAAATGACATTAATTCCGGTTATTATGAAAATGTTAATTATTTATTTTATGAAATCGTAAAAGTTATTAGGCATCACATGGTGAAAATTTTATAAAAATCGAATAATAATTGACAATTTTATGGACCAAAAACCTTGAAAAGTGACTTGTAGAAAATGGTCTATTTCTCTGAAACTGAACAAGTTAGAAACGTTTTTGTGATATCTATATGACCGTATTCTTTATATTTATCTGTTGATTTAAACTGAATGTAAAATTTTCAAAACGTAGCATAAAATACTCAGTTGAAAAAATATTGATTTTAAAAGATATAAATACAGTTTTTGACAAAATGGGGTCACTTCCGGCGTCAATTTGATATATTACATATTTGAATGGTATCACTTTTATGGAAATCCATTAATAATTGATGCTTTTATAGGCAAAATAACGTGATAAGTGACTTATGCAAAATCGACCATTTCTCGGCAACTGCTCATAATACTAACTAATTTTGACATACACTGTCTTCTTGTGGATTAATGCTTCAAGTTTACGAAAGTTGCGAAGAAATATT